CGTGGATATCTTGTCTCTAAAGTATTGACCAAAAACATCAGGAAGGTCACTTTTAGGTACATTCGTGGGAAACATGTTGCTGGCCGGATCTTTCCTACCAGACAACTGATTTGTTATACCAAATAAAGCTTTAGAGGTGGTACATTCATTAATTTTTCCGTTATAATACATGAATTTGGCAGATGTTATTAACGATTTCACTATGTTGTTACTACAGTGTCTATAAATGTCCTCATGAATTTTCAGCTTGGTTGATCTCCAGCGTCTTTGAGCTCGTCTACGTTCCATTTTAGATTGTTTAATTTCCAGTCATCCACGGGGCAGAAGGTCGATCTGTTACTGTTCTGGATTTGACTGGTGTATGTTTGTTTAGTAGTTCACACATCTTGGTGGTGAAAGTGTCTACCTTCTCGGAGGTTGAACCGTGTGTGAATTTTAGAAGCTGGCGAATGTCCGCTCCAAACTTTTCATTATCAATGTCCATTTTCCGGGTTGTTATTTTGCGGTGTGTCAGTTTGGGCTTCCCTTATTTCAAAGGACACCACGTAGTGATCAGAAATGCATTTGTTCTCTACTTGAATTTCACCGATTTTATTGACACTGTCCGTAATCACCCAATCTAATGTGTGTTTTTTAATGTGAGTGGGGACATCAATGTGTTGATAGAGACCACGAGTCTCTAGAATAGATTTGATAGATTTAACATTAGCGTCTAAGGTATCTTCAAAATATAAATTAAAGTCCCCTAAAATTATAGTCTATGTCTTCTTTGTGGCATGCAGGTCTAGTAAATCCTGGAATTCAGTAATGAAACCTTTAATTTTCAGTTTGTTTTTCCTGCTTGGAGGTGGTCGATAGACACAGACAAAAATGACGGGACACCCTTCGATATGTAGACTGATCTAACAACATCGAACGTTTTAAAGGAGGGCATTTTCTGTGGAGTGATATTTAGAGATCCTTTATAAATTACGCATATCCCTCCCCCTCGACCATTTCTTGGGACGGAGAAGGACTTGTATCCCGGTGGAGTTAGGCCGGCTATAATGATTTCATCTCCGACGTTCCGCAACCATGACTCCGTAAAAATGCGATATCGGAGTTGGACTCAAGTATTAAATCATTGAGTAAGACGGTCTTTTTTTAGGTTGACTGTGTGTTCAGTGAATTAATTTTAAGGTTACTTGACAATTCAGTTACGGTGCTTTTTGTGTCAACGGCAATTAAGTTCATGGGAGTAATGACGCTTCGAGGTTTATTTAAACTGACACACGTATTCCCTGTGACAACAATGATTGGTCTTTGTTTTCTTCTCCCTCCTCGTTTCCCCCTCTTGTATTTCTTAAATTTGCTGGCTGAGTCTTTAGATCTTTCAAGGCCAAGCTGAGACAGGCAAACGGCCGTTTCATATGAAATGTCATGTGTCTTTTTATTTACAGACAATAACTGGTCTCTAGACTTCGGAGAGACCCGAAAGAAATATTTTAGATGCAAAAAATTGCAAGGTCTGTTTTCCGTCGTTGATCCTAACAGAATTGTGGATTTTATGAAGGCCATAGGCCTTTATGGGAAGTTGGGAATAAAATTGCTATAAAATTGTTAATGTTATTTAAAAGTCATTTTAAAAACTAAGAACTTATTTACCTCCAATTTTTAACATTTTAAAATCTGATTATTGACTCGAGCCCAGTCTTGCAGTGAACTGTTGTTGAATGCAACCAACTTGTGTTTCGCGCGCTCATATGACCTTATGCAGTTGCGAGCGCCGTTAAACTCTTACAATTTTTTTTTCTTAATGGATGATGGAATAGATGCTCGTTGAATGCCTTGGGCCCATGTCTGTCATGGGCAGGAACATAATATCAGATGATCGGACTAAACTACTAACAGCATCACTTCGGACCAGAGGTGCCCTCTATGGTCGATTGATCTTCCAGAGAAAGTCCTAATGATCAGCGCAGTCTTCTGAGCCGAACAAAATCTTGTGTGATTTCAGGGTAGCAAATGCCTGGTGGATCTGAACCACCTGGAAAGTGGAGGATTTTTACACTGATGACCGAGGTATAAATGTTTTCCTCAGTTGAGTAGACCTGAGCGCTGTTGTGATCCCCATACCCTGAAATATCATTTCTCCATCTAGAGTCCTTATGTTATGGTCAAAGTTGAATTTCTGAAACTGGAAACAGTTGTGTGCTATGGTCATGAACATGTCCAATGAGTTACCCAACAGCAGCATTCAATTTAAATCTTCGAATCTCTTCGAATGGAAAGTAGCCCCAGTGCGTTTAGTGAGTTCACAAGAAGCCTTGAGGAGAAGTGGTCATGGAATAATACGCAAATGTCTATAAATTTGTAAGGGAGCCATCGTAGGTCTCGGTCGGCTGGCAGCTATTTTCAAGACGTGAACTGTAACACATATTGACAGTTTCTAAAAACAGCACCAAGAGGCCACCATGTTAGCACGTGTTTATTAATTGGCAAGCTACCTTGACAATTTGCTTCTGCCTTGGTGTTTCATAAAACGCTGGTATAATTGAAGAAGCCGATTACTTGAATGCAATAACACCTTAAGTTTTTAGAGGTTTTAATGGCGCTCGCAACTGCATACGGTCATATGAGCGCCAGAAGAATAGAGGTGTTACAAGAGAGTAACAAACATTTTAAAAAGGAGGGGAGATAAGGGCGATAGGTGTTTGATAGGAAAGAAGAAGCAGCAATAACACCTGATACCCATCAACCTGCGCTGTTATGATACGCTTTCCCTTGCACCCCTTCAGTTGTTGTTTTTTTCTAGCACTGTTGTCCATAAAATATATACTGTGCCATTCCCCACGTGCAGATGGTCTTTCAAAATAGTCATCATATCCCGAATACTGATCTGCTCATATTCATTTACCTTCAGACAGGATACAGCGTACTGACCGGCATAGATATTTAGTGCATCCTGAGGTTTCAGTGATGTCATTACCTTTTTTAAAGATTCAACGTCTAATAGAACAGAAAATGATGGCTGCTTGAAAATTTTGAAGTTGCCACTGAATAAAAGGAACCGAGAATTGTAAAAGTTGTTGTCCATTCGTCCTTTCTTTATTGTTTCCTGACTTTGGGTCTCTGTTCGCACGCGAATGACATCATAGGCTCCTATGACTTTGTTTGACTGCAAAGATTCCTTTTTTAGACCACAAAAAACTCAACGGGTGCTCAATTGGAACTCTTGGAGAGTCAACGGAAGTTTGCATTTCAGCCCGTTGCTGCCTGGCCTGTGACTAGTCATCCTATGTTTTGCGAAAGATTTTGCATTTATGTAAGCTTGGTGACATGAAATGTGGAAAAGTCACGTCTATTTATTCTTTTTTAAATGTTTTTGTACACCTGCCATAATACCATTCACACCTTGTGATGTCAATTGCACAAGGGGCTAATCTATAGAGGGTAATTGCAGTCAACAAACATCCACTGAGAAGCTCCGACTGAGGACGCATTCTTAATAATAGGCCTATTATTATATTGGCTTCCCATACATTTTACCTAACTCATTACTTTGTTGACATAAAAGCATACCGATGACGACTACCTCATTTCAGATAAATCCGTACAAAATTTGTATGTGTAAAAATGTTTGCGTCAAAGCAAGTATGACTATGTGACAAACCGATTAGGTCTTAATGTTTTGCTTTTTGACAAACTTTTAGTGCATTTATAAACTCCTCCACGATTTCTAATGCCGATTTTTAATATGTTATTACAAATTAGATCCAATTTAATCTGTCGAACCATACGCCTATCACTTTTGTCTTCGTTGCAATGCTTTTATCTTTCTTCCACTACTACTTTCATACGGAACACATAAAGGACCTTCGTGATGGCAGCCAGAGAGACAGAGAGAGAGAGACAGAGAGAGAGGAGAGTGGAGAGTACATGCCCATGAACACACTCTTTGTGTACGCTTGTGTGAGCATTGAGTGAGTTGTACATCGTTGTATGTATGTGTGTGTGTATCATTGAACATAAAACGTGATGAGTGTTTCTGTGTTGATGCTGAATCTGTGTATTTTGTACCCCGGTATTAATGTTCTGATATATCCATCCAAAAGTAACCCCATAGAGTTTCTCCTATCTTTTCTTATCACATCTCATCTTCTGACAAGAGATCAAGTAACAATCCTTTGAGCAGAGAGCTCAGCTTCCAAAACTGAGAAGGACAGAAACACACGCAGATATTCTTGCACTCACGGATTCACTCTCGGTAACCCTGGCACTAAGATAACAGAGCAGCGTCTTTAGACCAGGTCACCATACTGCACCGTGTGTGTATAGAAGCTTTCACTTGACTGCAGAAGAGCAATCCACTGGGGGATCTCGATACACAACTTTAAGTTCATCAATGACGATCAATTAGAAAACAAAATTGCTAAGATTTACTTAATATCGTATCAAATCAGGTTCTCTGTGATTCCGAATATGAATTCCGTTTTAAGCTGCCGTTATTATTTTTCGAAGTGGCATCCTGAGTTCAATCCTGCCGTGGTGGATTTTTAAAGTAATTCTACGTCACAGCACGTCTTTCCCAGATCGCACGAAAACGGGCGGTGCTTGATTTTTCGACCGAGTCTCCGAGCCATCGTCCAACCGTCCAATCTTTATGCTATCTTGCTGTTTTATATAATGATTGATCGTCTGAACGATAGATTTCCCAATTTGGGGCGCTATTTTTATTTTTGTTTTGTTTTTGGTTTTTGGTGTTTTTTCGTGGGGGGGGGGGGGGAATTTTTTGTGTGTTTGATTGTTTTGTTAGGGTTTTACTTTTCATGGGGGGTCAATTTATGGTTTCGTGTACCTGGGCCTTAAGTCAAGGCACTATTCTGGGATTCACTTTTAAGGAATAATGGAGTCTACAGTCTTGACTTTCCTCATGTTGTCCAAGTTCACAGTCAACAGTGGTGCGTTTTGGATTTGTTTGTACACGAATGTTCTAGTTTTAATGCAAGTATGTATATTAGGTGTTTTCAGAGGCTCGGAGAAGTGTTTCAAGTTCCCTCCCCATGGTGCCAGTGGATGCCCAGAAAGAGCTTGTACCGGAGGGTGTGCTTCTGACCGTCCGGTACCACGTCACCCCTGGCGAAATGACCTTTGTCACTTGGCAGGCTGCCTGGAAGAACGACAGGCTTTTCAGGGGTACGATATTGGTGTGTGTACTTTTTGTTTTAGCTGGTGTTCGTTTTGTCAAAGTTTGACCTTTATCTGTGGTACACGTACATGTATAAAAGGGGTAGGTTATTTGTCGTTGCACACCGAAGACGTCAGTTCAATTCCCCCATTGGGAAATTTGTATCGTAGTATGTCTGCTGGGATATTGTTACCTCACCCCTGCTGTGTTGGATGTTGCAGTCGACAGTTTCGAAGAACATCGCACCCTGGCTCATCTCAACTGTGTAAAGGGGTGGTAAAACATTTACCCCATCAATCAAGTTAAAGTTTGGTATTTACTATTATACCAATAGATATCCTCATCATTGAATGGAATACCCAGTTGTTGGTTCACACTCAGTTGAATGAATTCTATCGCGTGCTCATGTTTTGCCCTCCAGGACCAATTGTGGTACCATATGTTTCTATTTTGTCCTTTAGAAGAAAAAAAAAGATTTTACACAAGTTTGACATCGTTTCCTCAAATATTGTCGTAATGATCCGGAAAAATATAGACAAGTTCAATTTAGGCTGACAATTCTGTTCATGTGTCTAAGTACATGTACTCTAATACTCGACATTTTTGTTTGTTTTCAGTAATGGAACCGACAACCTCCAATGGATTCTCTGAAACACGTCTGCTTTCATCCCCTCCACCCGACAACCCAAACATGGATACAGCAGCAGTCTTGTTTATATCCTCACGTTATGGCGTGTTAGTACAATGTACTTTCAGATGTTGTTTTGGTTTTTTAATTTTGATTTAAGTCTGTTCAGCTTCTAATGAACACCCCACCCTAACCCGACCCCCAATCACCACTCCCCTGCTTTTAGAATCCACTTTTCTTCGGACATGTGGCAAGCTGTTTCTTTGGGGGTGGAAGGGGGGGGGGGGCTATAGCTGTCAAAAGTAAGCTGATTTCATCTGTTTTCGAATTTTTAACATTGTAATTTTATCACTGGCCAAACCAAGCCGTCCTGTGAACTGTTGTGAATGCAACCAACTTGTTTCCCGCGCTCATATGACCTTATGCAGTTTCAAGCGCAGTAAACTCTCGCTAAATTAAATAAAGAAAAAAGTTCAGTTTTCTTATGCTATAATACTGATTAGTTTGTTTTCAAGAACATGCTCTCCGTCACATCTACACGACATGTGTGCATTTATTTTTCTTTAATTCTTTACTTAATAGATATGAGCTGAAGTTCAATGTCAGTGGCTCAGACTTGACCATCAATGACTTTCCAGTACCACCCGTGTCAGTTGAACCATCCTCGGACATCGTTTATGAAGAAGGGAATGACGCCTACTTCACGGTACTAATTTACTTATTTGTTCAGTTTTACTTTATTGAATTCCTGTACCTGATCTGTTTAGTACTTTCCACATGTTATCTCATCCTCCATTTTTGGCTTCAGAGTCAGAGTGACAGGCACATTGGTTGACCTACTTTGTCTCTATCCTCCACCATGTCTCTGTACTTTATCTTTACAGTTCGTTCCACATTTTATCTCAAAATGGGATCCACAGGCAACAACTGTAGCTGCTGATTCTTCTAATTCCTGGGTGAGACTTACTGTACTGGACCTGAACACGGGGGACTTCCTGACCCCCTTAGAAGCGCGTGGTTTTCAGAACGTCGTTGGGCGGTGAGTGTATTGGTTCATCACAGATTGTTTACAACATAATGAAACGATAAATTTACATTTTTTGTTGATTTTTTACAACCATACCAGACAGTAAGCATACATTACATACTTAACAAGTTTCACAATATTATCATAAGACAGTAAATGTTTATTCTTATTTGGTTCTCACATCGTGAAACATCTCTCTCTCTTTCTTTCTCTCTCTCTCTCTCTTTCTGTCTTTCTCTCTCTCTCTCTCTCTCTCTCTCTCTCTCTCTATCTATCTCTCTCTCTATTTCTATCTCTCTCTTTCTCTATCTCTATCTCTCTCTCTCTTTTTCTTTCTCTCCCTTGCCCTTTTTAACTCCCAGTGGAGCATAGGCCATCACCAGCATTTCTCCAGCGAAGCCTGTCCTGTGCGTCCTTTTCTAGCTGTGTCAATGATGCCCCCGCCTTTTCCATTTCCGCTTGTAACGCTCGCCTCCATGTCATCTACCTCGAGGGTGGCAATAATTATTTTTAAGTGCAATTTGGAGATCATTGTTTGGTGTCCTCTCAAGGCTTGGTAAAGGCCCTATACCCTATGAGCTGATGAATGCAATATACAGTATTATACATTGTGTAATTGTATACAGGCCTTTATCGTCTTTTAGTCTGAGACGAGCTGAGGACCATGTCATCTAGGTCAATCTATTCCAACAAGTTAGACTTCCTTTTCATATGATTAAAGTATTAACAACATTGATATAATGTCAAAATTATTTTTGTGCTTGTTCATGTGTGTGTGTTTCGGGGGTGGGGGGTCATAATTTTAGTGATATTTAGTCAACCAATGTAGGAATCTTGTGCTGCAAAATTACCAATTCCCCCGTCAGTGTGTTTTATGAATATCTCAAATAAAACTCAAATTACGTTTCACAAGAAGCAATTTGCTCAAGTTGATACAGTTCTCTTTAACCTTTTCTAAATTTCAGCAATACAAACTCTGGTGTCACTCAAAGAGAGTACCGGATAAGCACAAGCCAACGACAGACCAGCGGTGTCATTAATTTTTCCGTTCGTAGGTCTCTGGGTTATAGTCACACACTACAAAAAATCACCGTAAGTTGCTTTAGAATAACATGCTTTCATCTTTTTGTGGGATTTATCATGGATCTTTGGGGTTTTTCCTTGCTTTTTGGTAGAACACTCAAATACACCCATATGTATTCTTACACTATTTTCTGCTTGCTCAGATAGGGGCCCTGATTCTACAAAGCCGTGGTGTCAGAAAGTTGCTAAGAAAAGTACTAGTGACACTAATATTACATTGAAATATTCAAAACTTAAATTTGAACATTGTGAATATATGCAGGGCTTTGTTTTTAAACTTCAATCTGAAATTACCCATAAATTGTTTCTGTGAATCCCAAACCCAAAAGTAGCTCCATTGCTTCTCTTTCTGTCTTGGCCCCCACAATTCGGTTCAATAGACAGAAGAGCTTGAATTATTCACAAGCGCCCCTTACTTTATTTTAATCCTCATCAAAACAGGAACATCTTTTTGAGTTAGTAGTCAACTGTTACATTCTTGTGATACCTGGATACGTTTCACTCCTGTCTTCTTTTGCCTTTTATGGAAGATTTCGTACTTCATCATTTTGAATCTAGTTTGTGTTGTTGTTGTCATATGTGTTTGCTGGACTGCTTCTCCTATCTGGTGTTGTCGCCAGTGTAACAGTCCTTACGTTTTGACTACTTTGGTTGTATTTTAGTGTGTTCAAATAACTCATTTTCCTTTTTCTCACAAAACGTGAAGGCTCTACATAGTAACATGGTCTCTCTAAAGTTCTGTGAATATGCTGTCTGTTGGGTTTTTTTTTGCGTTCAGATGCTTCCCCCAACCCTGAAGTGTGGGTGGTTGGTAGGTGCTCTGGTGTGGCTTGCTTTTCTTTCCAATCAAACATATAATCTTGATCTCTCCTCCTTTTTTGTGTTTGTTATTCCCTTGTAACACCTTTAATCTTCGGCACTTATATGACCTTATTGTATTGCAAGTTCTGTAAAACTGTTACTAAAGCTGACATTCCATATGCCCGAAAAACCGATGCGAACTTCGGGTGCGAATTTCGCTTGCGAATTATTTTTTTCGCACCAACGTTTTTGTCATTGGGTGAATCCATATACCGGAATTTCGCATGGCCGAGTCCGAAATTCGCATGCGAAGATTTTGTTTCGCACGAGGGAGCGAAACTTTTTTCTTCGCATGCGAATTCTTCGTGAAGTGGGCGGGGCTTATTTCCTGCCAAATCTACTTCAAAGGAACGGAGCAGCATAGAAGCACTAGGCAAGTGGGGAAAACGTCGAAATGTTGATTTCCTTGGTTCGAGAGAGAAGTGTTAAAACCAAAACTGAAAAGAAGTGTTTATTTTCAAGGTGGCTGTCATTTGCATGGCAACCACTTTTTTTTTTTAGTTTGTGGGAAACTTTGGGGAGTCTATGTAATCTATCTATGCTATCATTCATCGTTTAAATCATTTAATAACTAAAAACAGCATTTCACTTACACCCCCCCTCCTTAATTAAATGCACTTGAATATAGCTTCTAACATACATTAATTATAACTTAAGATTGCTGTCTGTGCCGCAGCCACATCAGCCAGCGCTGTCGGTGATAGGACCGAAGCTTCGCAAAGAAAACGACCCAAGAAAGCAAAGCTTATGAAGGAAGGACCATCATCAAGTCTGGACAAAGCAATTTAAAGCTGCTTTCGTAGGAACAGGAGTTCTAACAGCAAAATTCCCTTGTTTTCAACGTAGAGTGCTTGCTCTGACTGAACTGGTGCCGTGATTTCAGTCAAATGACGGATGCGAATTTCGCGTATATGAAAGGAGGGCTCTTTTTTCATCGCACCCGAATTTCGTACACGAAATTCGCACCCGAAGTTCGCATCGGTTTTTCGGGCATATGGAATGTCAGCTTAAAGCTTAACAACCCTGAAGTAAGACATTTCAGCACTATTGATTTTTTTCTCTATTTCATAGCATCCTCTCCCTTAGTGTTTAGGCTATTTGAGGTTGACTTGTCTATCCTACCGGCCTGTTCTTTATAAGTTGTGCCATTCTCAGTTTCTCCGTCACCATTCATGCCTTGATACTTTTGCAACTGTGGTATTTGGTCATTTTTGTTATCCGAGATATTTAAAACGGTCAACCTTTGTTAACAGATCACCACTTACTAAAAATACAAAAATACCAAATTCAGAACAAAGCTACCAGTTTGTAAACAATCCAAGTTTTGGGGTTACTTGTTATTGTGATCCAGTTTGTCAACATGTGCATCAGATTTGTACAAACCAAGTGGGCAAAAAACAAACGTCATTACTTCTCAGCATTTGGAAGTATATGTGTGTGTGACGTTGTTTTCCTTCGTTACTCAGCTGACCCGCACCCTGGTTCTGCGGCCCTCCACCCAGCCTGGCCCGTTCCCGCCTGGTTTTCTCACAGTACGGAAAGGACCTCGAGAGATGGTTGACCAGGAAGGACGCCATATCTCTTTCTGCCGGTGAACTTCCCATACTTTGTTTTTCTTTAATTTTATTTTCGGGGAGGAGGGGGGGTGTCCTATATCCCTAGTATTACTCCTTATTTGTTAATTTGCCTGTATGTATATATCAATTTCAAGGTCGGCTCAAGGGTCTGTCTTTTCTTATGTGCTTTCCAAGTACAGTCGGGCACAGATAACTCAAACATATCAGGTTTTGACAAATGTGTTCGACACATCCATTACTCAGGTTTACCACTTACGAAAAATTAAAGAGATATCAGTCGAGGAATGACAACTTGTACAAGCTGTCTGCGATTTCAAATAATCTGTGTTTGTGTTGTAAATGCATGACTGTACATCTTACAACATTGGACGTCCTTTTCAGTGTTTGTTTGTACAGATAGTTTTTAAAATCTAATTTAAATTAGCATTCCCCGGTTTGAGCAAAACCCTTTCAGCCTTGTGCTTAACTCATTATTTGCTTCAATTTTATTTTTTATAATTAGCAGCACATTATATAAGCTTTCAATTTATATGATCTACAGAAACGTAAAAGTTCCACGTAATATAGCTTTGGACGGGAAAAGGTTGTGTACCTGTCCAAGAACTTACATGTTATAGTGCCTTGCCATTGCACAACCCCAATGCTAGGTAGGAACTAGAGGGGGTTTTTTCATTGGATGCTTCAGCCATTCTACTTCCTTCCTGGACGATACTTATGTTTGATTCTTATTGGTTCCACATGTGGCAGTTTTTAGAAGAGGCTTCCTTTGAGGAAGTCTGTCAGGTGTTTGGGTAAGTTCGCCCCCGAATTCGGTGCAAGTTCGCCATAGCCCAGAGTGCTTATGAAGGTGGATGTTGGGGAGTGTAGAGTAAAGACTGGGAGCTCTGGAGGCCATGTAGTTGTGGTGTCACCCAGGCAATCTTGCACTCCACACCCATCTGCTGCTGTCAGATTGTCCTCAGTGTCATATTTGTTCACAAGAATGCCTCTTGAATTGATGACTAAGGCTAACGAATCTTCCATTTGTAGCTGGTCTGGGTCTGACAGGAGGAGAGGCTCATGTCGATGATGACGCTGTCTTTTTTCCTCCACGGGCTGTGGTCTGCTTATAGCCTCTGCTGGCCTGACAGGCTTCAAAGCAGATAAGAGGTACCACTGCAGTGGCTTCAAAAGCTTTTTTAAAAAATTGTTTCCTCACTCATACTTTCTTCCCAGGCCTTTTTGAACAAGCCTGGCCAAGAGGCTTTGTTGACCAGATGCTGTGAGGACGCTGACATGTACTCAGTGCAGGCTGTGTTATAAGACGTCTTAAATGGTTGGAATACCACTTTGCCGAGTGGTTGTTGCCAAGCTCTGGTATGTGGAGGGAAGGCCATGATGTGTATGTCCTCGTCCCGTGCTAGCTGCAGTAGCTCCACCACTTCATGGCTGCTGTGAGAGTCAAGCAGCAAAAGCTGGGGTCATTCAGGGCCATGGTTGGAAGGGAAAACATTTTTGAACCGTTGCTCCCCCTGAACATCAATCACCCTTGCTTTCTCCTGCCGTGTCCAGCTGGTGTCTGGGTGAGCACAATGTGTGACAAAACTTTGGACACTTTTTATGGTCTTTCCCTTCATGATGACCATGGAGGGGCATCGCCTCTCCTGCAGCACTTATGCAAGCCAGCCCTGTCATTGACTCTTTGAGTTGCTGGTTCGTGAAAGGAGGCAGAGTTGGCCATTTTCCGTAATTACCCTTTGCTGGTTTATGAAAGAACTGAATGTTTGTTTCATGGCAGCTCTACGAGCTAGATCCTCTCCGGCCTGTCTTTCAAGTTAAGGCTGGTCACTAGAGCCAATCAATGTTCCAAGATTCTTAATCCCAATTTCGACCACAACTACAATAAATTCCACGAAAAGCTCTTAGAAATATGCCACAATCACATTCCA